CGAGAAGGTTTTGGAGTAATCCTGTTTAACTTCCTTTAACCCATTCTTTCACAAACTCATTTGCCCACAGGCTGTTATTTTTTTTTTTTAATTCATCTAAATCTATTTCACAAAGACACTTTCAGAAATACAACACTGGCCTTGCCTTCTCCCAGCTTCGGGCATATTAAACTTGTTTCTTGAATTTCTTGTGTTCCCTCTAAAATACCAGCCTCCTATTACTACTTATAGTTCACTTCTAGTTGCCTTCAAAATTCAACTCCAGTTACCTCCTCTGGCACACCTTCTCTGTCACCCTACTCAGGCTAATTTAGATTCCCCTCCTCTGTGCCCCCATAGCAATCTATACATATCTTTATCAGAGCACTTAACAACTGACTATATTATTTGATTTACTTGTTTGCCTTCCCACAATAGATAAATTTAAGCTCTCAAGGGCAGGAAAGATGTTTTTCTTTGACCTTGTAACTTTGATAACTGTGCCTGGCACATGGCAGTCTCTCAATAAATGGTTGTTAGATGCTTTATATATGCAGGTTCCCATATATAGGACTCTATATAGAAACAACACATTTCCAAAATATTTTATTCTAGGAACCACTTCTGATTAATTTGCCATTTTTATAGATGTGTCTATCTTCAGTACAACTGGTCACTTCTTATTATTGTTACCAAATTAAATAATAGTTTGAGGTTTCTGTTTTGCATCCAAAAATTCTACTACATAGTGATCTGCATGTAATACTTCTAAAAGTATCTAAGTATTTAAGAAGCTGCATCTGTTAACTTTTTCTCAGAGTGGTTCATTTCCTATGTGAGTTTGTCTTTGGTAGGCAACTGTTTTATAGAAATCCTTTGCACCCTGGGTTGTCGATGTGTTTCTTCATGGTGGTTTTAAATTGCCTGTGCCAATGGCCCCAGAGTTTCAAGAGTGCCGACTTAGTTTCTATGTTAAATTCTTGGCTTCTGGGGCGGGGGGCGGGGAGCCTGGGTGGCACGGAGCCTGGGTGGCACAATGGGTTAAGCATCCGACCCTTGGTTTCAGCTCAGGTCATGATCTCAGGGTCATGAGATCAAGGCCAGCATTAGGCTCTGCACTCAGCATGGCGTCTGCCTGAGATTCTCTCTCCTTCCTTCTGTCCCTCCCACCGTGCTCTTTCTCTCTCTCAAATAAATAAATAAATCTTTTTTTTTTTTAAAGATTTTTATTTAATTTGACAGAGAGACAGCGAGAAAGGGAACACAAGTAGTGGGAGTGGGAGAGGGAGACGCAGGCCTCCTGATGAGCAGGGAGCCCGATGAGGGGCTCGATCCCAGGACCCTGAGATCATGAGCGGAGCCGAAGGCAGACGCTTAACGACTGAGCCACCCAGGCGCCCCTAAATAAATAAATCTTAAAAAAAAAAAAATTCCTGGCTTGGGATTTCCACACTATATGTGTAGTAAAAATTTCCCACAGAAGATTTTTCTGTCCCTGCTCAGACCCTTGAATAGGCGCCATCCTTGACATTTTTGGGGGCCATAGACAAAGTACCCTTTTCATGAACTGGGTAGTCTTTTGAGAACTCCAGCTTTATACAGGTTCTTACTTACAGATCCTAGCCTAGTCAGGTCCAAAGCCATGCTTCCTACACCCAGGCATGGCATTAAAATCTGAGCCTCCAGACGCTAACATCTACTCTAGACGTCCTATACCAACCCTGGGCCACTCAAACCATTCTGGCCTTTGGATTCTCTTCATTTTTGTCACCTAGCAGTTCCCTTTCACTTTTCTGAACTCAACTACATTTTCCTACGTTTATAATGGGAAAGGGGTCCTTATAAATCCATCTACCATGTTGCTAGAACCTTTTCCTAAATAAATTTTGAGTCCATTCACTTTTCTCCATCTCTTTTACTACTACCTCTGTGCAAGCCAATGTTCTCTCTCATGCACCCTTCTTTTTTTTTTTTTTTAAGATTTTATTTATTTATTTGAGAGAGAGAGAATGAGAGAGAGCACATGAGAGGGGGGAGGGTCAGAGGGAGAAGCAGACTCCCTGCCGAGCAGGGAGCCCGATGCGGGACTCGATCCAGGGACTCCAGGATCATGACCTGAGCCGAAGGCAGTCGCTTAACCAACTGAGCCACCCAGGCGCCCTCATGCACCCTTCTTTTGCAATGGTGTCCTTACTGGTCATCTCACATCTATTCCTGTCCATCCTTCCCCTGTCCAATTCATATGGAATATTGTACCCAGAGTTTAAAAGCCAGGATTCTAAAAAACGTAAACCAGATCATGTTATCCTTTTGCTTTTTGCATATTTTCTGTATGACCCAGCAATTCTACTCCTACATATATATCCAAAAGAAAGAAAAACATATGTCCACACAAAAACTCGTACATGAATGTTTATAGTAACATTATTCAAAATAGCCAAAAGGTGGAAAGAACCCAAATGTCCACCAACTTAGGAGTGGCAAACAAAATGCAGTATATCCACACAATGGAATAGTGTTTGGCCAATAAAAAGAATAAAGTGCTGATACATGCTACAACATGGATGAACCTTGAAAATATTATTCTAAGTGAAAGAAGTCAGTCACAAAAGACCACATATTGGTTCCATTTACATGAAATGTCCAGAACAGGCAACTCTACAGAAACAGAAAATAGATCAGTAGTTGCTGAGGTCTAGGGAATGGGAAGATGGGGTGGGAGTAGGGGGGACAATAATTAAAGGTATGGGATTTCTTTTTAAGATGATGAAAATGTCCTAAAATTGACTGTGGTAATCATTGCACATATCTGTGAATATACCAAAAAATGACTGAACTGTACACCTTAAATTATATGGTATATATAAATTATATCTTTATAAAGCTGTTCAAAAAAAAAAAAATGCTTCCAGTAGCTCATCATGGTTCTTAACATATATATCCAAAATCTTTGTCTTCAGCTGTAAGACTTTGTATGATATAGCTCCTATTTATTCCTCAAGCCTCACCTTAGACTGCTCTTTCCCTAACTCTCTACCCCAGAGCCACAACATCTTCTCTCAAATTCTCCAAAGGATCAAGCACCTTCCCACCTTAGTGGCTTTTCAACAGCCATATTTTCTGCCAGAAATGCTTATCCCCTTTTCCTAGCTATTATTTGTCCACAAGAGGATCATACCCTTAAGATAACCTTCTGCAGGAGAAGGGAAGTCTTCTGTAGGCAGATCTTCTGTCATAACAACTCACACTACTTCTTCATAGTATATATCACAATTATTTAGTGTTTGTTTTTCTTCACTATCACATACATTCCCCGAGGGCTGAGATTGTTTTCCTTGTTCACTGCTGTATTACCTGGGTTCATCATAGTACTTTGCAATGGCAAATGTTCAAATATTTTGAAAAGAATGAATGCTAGTGACTGAGTCCAACAGCTCTTTATGTAATACCTTCTTATTTATTTATCTTGTGCCATTACCCTATTTAACTTGTCTAAGATTATTTATTATCTAATATCCCCGTTTATTATCTTGTGCCATCCTAAAAATTCACTTATCTTGATACACCAAATTCACATAATTCAGTGATATTTTGATTTAATTCTTCTTATATTTGCTGCTTCTTGAGGAATTATGTCCTAGTGAGAATACATGGTACACAGTATATAATCAATAACTATTTGTGGCTTAAGTAAAACTTCTAAAACAAAATTAAAATCTGTAGCAGGTGCTATCTTATTGTTCATAGGTTATAAAAATCCCAGAAGACAGTAACTGTCTCTCTAGGTTTCTCTAAATAATGGTGCATGCAATTAAATATTTAATAATGCAGTTTGATAAAAAGCCTGATTTACACATCCTTACAGGGATCATAATCTTAATGATGAATTTAACTCATTTTACTTGTCTCAGCCCAGAAGGAATTTTTTTTTTTTTTCAGAAGGAATTTTTTAAAGGGAGTTTTTTTCAGCTAATATTCAGAAAATATTACTTTTGCATTTAGTTCCTAGATGAAACTAATAATACCTAATTTCCCCATCTGAGCTATTAAATATATAAACATTAAATATTCAAGATCAATTTATTAAAATTTCCTTGGCTGGAAACCAATGAAAAGATGATGCTCTGCAACCTGTTAGCCCAGAAAACTGACTTTCTTCTATTTTTATACAAAGAAATGAAAAAAGAAAGGAAGGAAAAGAAAGGAAGAAAAAACCACAATTTTTCAACTCACTTAACATCTCCCTTCCACTTCTCAAAATTTTAATTTTAGAACTGTCTTTATAATAAACAAACATCTAAAAAGTTCAACTCGTTGTATCTTGTAGATGATAAGACTTCTTGACTTATTACACATACATACACACTCACAAACATAAAATCTTCTTCCTTTGGATAGTCAAAAGAAAATGAAGCCAAACTGAAATCTAAATTTTGATAAGATTTCATTTCCTTTTATAGTCTTAAAAAAGGGATAAGTATGGCTTCAGTTTTTAAGTAGATCTGAAACAGCCAAATGGAGTGCATTCTATTTTTTACACTTTTTCAAGTGGGAGAAAATGTCCCATTCTTCTTGGTCACATCTTGGAACATCTCCTAATAATGACAATCAAAAAGTTCTTCTTAGCTTCTACCTTAAATCTCTCCTGTGCCAATTCATGACTGCCCTCTCATAATTTTTCTCTAAAGAAACTGTACAGTAACTAGTCACTATCCTTCTACCATATCATCATATTCTATTCAGTTCTTTTTCCGGTATTCTTAAATTAATTAAAATGATATCCTAGCTTTATTTCTCTGAGCCTTTTTCATGATACTGCTTTTCTTTCCTGCCAGAGAAATCTTCACGGACTCCTCAGAACAAAAGAAAAGATCCTTCTCTGTGCTTCAGGTTCTCCATCACAAAATGGGGAAATAATGCCTGATCCTGATTTCTTTTATAAGACAAATAGAAAAAAGATATGCCTATATTCATAACAGAATAAGTATCTATGTTAAATATTATCAGAAATAATTAAGATCTCTGTCAAAAATCTCCCAGAGGCAAAATAGAAAACCCAAACTGTAATATAAAGATCTACTTTCATAAATGTATCTGGGATTGGGGGAAAGACTTCGCACCCACTCCTTTATCTCCTACCTCAAAGCAGAACCCCGCAAATGAAATCAGTATAGAACATACCTCCTCCTGTCCCTGGCTTCCACAGAGGAGTCTGTTCCAGGAGTGGAGAGCAGAGTGGCAGTTGTAACCCCATTGGCAGTGTTAGGTGGAGGGCGGTTAGTGATCACACAGAGCGGGGTGCTAGAAGAGACATTGTCTGCTGTTTTCTCTGCTGTTGAGTCAGCCTGGGATTTGTAAGGAGTCCTGAAATCAAAAACACAGACACACAAAAGCACAAGCAGAAAGAGAATGGTTAAGCATGCTACACAACAAAGCACTAGCACACAGACAGAGGGTTTGAGGTAAGTTTAACTAGAGAATCTTCTTGCTCCAATTTTGTTGGCTGGTTGACTGGTTTTTTAAATTCTGAGCTCTTAATTCTTACAACAGTATGATTATACATTTAGTTTGATATCCTCTGCCCAAAGAGTTATATTTCATGAAAAAAAATTTTTTTTGCTTGAGATTAAAAATTTTTTTAAAAATGAGCTATGGCACAAGGAAGATAGTAACATATGCAAGAATGCTTTAAATGACTCCTGAGCACCATCTGGTCTCCACACACACACACAGAGGCAGGGCCTCTCCACACACATGAAAACAACGCTAAAGTCACTTACGATATTATTCTCCACCTGCCCCTTAATTCTTGGCAGTGAGAGTCTTTGGTAGTCCTCAGCCTGGATTAGATGACCATCTTCTTGGATTCCAGAGATATTTGATAAATACAACCTCATATGTTTACTTCTTTCCCACCTAGCTCAGCAACTGCTCTCTCTATTTAACCAAATGCCTGATAGCCTGTATTCTTAAGTGCATACATGAGCAACAGAAACAAAAACTAGTAAGATTCTATATGTAACCTTAACTGCAGACTTTCCAACAGCAAGCTGTATAATTAAGCTCATTTACATGAAAACAAGATCTTTGTTTCTTAACAAAGAGTTGAGAGCAACCATTGGCTCTCCACCCAAAAAGCTATCATTTGTGATGTCACAGCTTGTTGCTGGGGTAACAGAGATCCAAAATTGATATTCACAGAGATGGGAAAAGCAATGAAGATAAGGAATGCTAAAAATCTGTTTGTTTTTTTTCACCTACTCACAATTACCAGAAATGCTTATAAGTAGCTATAAGCTCATTTTCAAATAATCACATCATTAGAATAAGCTTGAAAGCAATAATCAGATTGTAAAAAATCTAAATATGGTACCTAGATGCAATTATAAATATAGAACAGTTTTGAAGTGGTATCTAAAAAACACAAGCCACTTCTCCAGAAGCAATTAATGACTCAGAAAAAAGGTGAAATTAAATTCCTCAGACTTATAAAATGTATGAGTCTATAGGACACATGAATAAAATTAGCCAGAACCAAACTATAAAAAATTGGTGGCTGGGTGATAGACATTGGGGAGGGTATGTGCTATGGTGAGCGCTGTGAATTGTGTAAGACTGCTGAATCACAGACCTGTACCTCTGAAACAAATAATACATTATATGTTAAAAAAAAAAAAAAAAGAAGATAGAAGGAGGGGAAGAATGAAGGGGGGGAAATCAGAGGGGGAGCTGAACCATGAGAGACTATGGACTCTGAGAAACAAACTGAGGGTTCTAGAGGGGAGGGGGGTGAGGGGATGGGCACGTACTGCATGGAGCACTGGGTGTTATACGCAAACAATGAATTATGGAACACTACATCAAAAACTAATGATGTAATGTATGGTGATTAACATAACATAAAAAAACAACAACAAAAAAACCTTACCTGACATTCTTTTTAGGTTAATAACATGTTTTGTTCTCCCTGAGATTTTTTCTGCTGTGGAAATGCCAAGGGTTTTTATTTTATTGAATTACAGAATAGAACTTGTACTATTATTTTGATATGTGGTATAATTTTATAAGTAGAATGTTAAGAGCAGAATAGGAAGGGATGCCTGGGTGGCTCAGCTGGTTAAGCGTCTGTCTTCAGCTCAGGTTATGATCCCAGGGTCCTGGGATCGAGTCCCACATCGGGCTCCCTGCTCAGCGGGAAGTCTGCTTCTCCCTCTGCCTCTGCTCCCCCTGCTTATGCTCTCTCTCTCACTCTCTCTCTCTCTAATAAATAAATAAAATCTTAAAAAAAAAATAGGAAAAGCTGCAGAGCAGGGGTCAGAGGCTCTGGAACCATGTGGGGCTACATTTCAGCCAAGTTAACCTCTCTAGTCTCTTCATCTGTAAAACGGGAATAATGATACCTTAAAATGCAGTGGTCTTGTGATAACTAAATAAAATAATGTATGAAGAACATTAGTATTGAGCTCAGAATAAAACACAAGCTCAGTGGAAACAAAACAGTGAAATAGGATCTCTGACATGGACAAATCTAGGTTCAAACCCTGCCTCAGTTCCTTACTAGATATGTGACCTTGGGCAGATGATTAAGTTTTGGGTCTCAGTTTCTACATCCATAAAATAAAAATGGTACTTCATACGCTGGAGGCCTCTTTATAAACAATATATGTGTGCCTGAGATAGCGAGTTGCCCAACCTATATTCATTTTCCTTTTCTTCCTAACAGAACCCGTAAATTATTGAGGGCAGCATTGCACCTAGTTAAAAATTCACATTTTCCAAAGTCTCCCTGGCTGCTAGAGGTAGCCAATGAGGCATAAGTAGAAAATTAGTGCTTTGGGGGAAAACCTCAGTTCAGAGGCCTTCTCTCTTTTTGTATTTCCCCCTTTCTTTCTTCTTCCTGCCTAGAATGCAGTCATGTCAGCTAGAGCTTCAGCAGCTATTTTCTGTCATGAGGCAACCTGTGGAAATGGAAGCATGATCTAAGGATTGTGAGGCAGAAAGACAGAAGGATCCAGGATTCTTTAAGGACTTTGAAGCTGTGGTGCCAGCCCTGCCTATTTCTGGACTTTCTTAAGTGAGAGGAAAAAAAAAATAAACCTTTATCATATTTTAGCCTCAATTATTTAGCTTTACTGTTACATGTGAGTAAACCAATTGCTCATGTAATTTTTGTAAGTATCTAAGCCAATGCTTGGCACGTGATAGGGTTCAACAAATGGCAGCCGTTACTATTTTTCCCTAGTCTCAGCTCTTAATACTTAAGCAAGTAACCTGTGTTTCAGTTTCTTCATCTATGGTATAATATTTACTATGTCTGTGCAGATGAATTATTATGAGGACCTAATAAATTTCTACATAATTATCAGTATTATTATTAATAATCCATCTTAAGCCTATCCCTCCTGGAACAAATGATCACCACTTATTTTAAGGAAAGAAATCTAATAAATGGACAAAAATCAATCAAGTACTACCATCAACAGTGTTCTTGCAGCAACAAGCAACACTATCATCATTAATGTTTTTCATTTTCTTTGTGTCAGTTCTAGAAACAAGCCCTCAAAAAGAAGTCCCTTTGTCATACCCCAAAGTAAAAGGGTCTCTGTGCACACATACAGGGTTGAAAGCTATAGCCAAAACCACAGCTGAAGTCCTATCGTGCTTTCACGATGAAGCCCCGGACAGGCTACCCCCATGCTACCCCTTAGGCAGACTGGACACCACGGCCCCAAGAATACCACAAATCTAGACAAATTTATACAAACATAAATCTCTTCCCTCCCGCGTGTTTCCAGCAAAATGCTCTCATTGGCTGGGAATTTTCAGAAAGCTATAGGAAGCTTTTGGAACAAGAGCTAGCTTTTCTTCTGATTTGGGTTTGTATGCCATCCTCTGAAAAAAAGAGTAAGTAGAAGAGATTCCTACTCACTGGGAAATTAATGTAAGTGAAGTGTGGGGATATTTTTAATATGTGCTTTCCCATAATAGGATGAGACCCTTACATAGTAATCACACAAAAGCGGTCATTTTAAGTTGATGCCTAAACACCAAGTACCAAGATATGTACCCTATGATTTTTCAATGAGCAACTGCTGAGTGGCTAATACAAGTCCAAACAAAACCTCCGCGTTAAATCATGGACATTTTCACAAGAATTCAAACTTGCTTCCCCAGTGCCAAAGTCTCTTTGGTTTGAATCTCATATGTGCATCCAGAGGCATGAGTTTTGATGACTGTAACTCAAATGGCCCCAAGAAGCCTTACCTGCCATGGTGTGCAGATGCAGTAGTGTTTGCACTGATTGGTGCAGGGCAAGAAGAGGCAGGTTGCCACTTGTTGCCCCGAGAGGTAGATGAACCAATGGTAATGGGTGAGGTAGCAGATGAATTGCGATTGGCTGAAATGTAGGGACTTGTGGGGTCACTACTTCTACCAAAGGAAGCACTGCAAAACAGCACACAGTCACTTTCTTCAGGACATGCTGCTCACCCACCATTTCCCAGCACCACCTTCCCCCCCAGATTGTGCATTTAAAAGGAATGTAGACCAAAGAGAGGGTATGGCAACTGGGAAGTGGAGTGAGTGATCAACTCCAGCTAGAGCTGGGTCACCGGCAGCAAGCAGGCATCTGTCAATCATCCGAAAGAGTGAAGGAACATGGAGGAGAGATGATATGCAATAAGAGAAAGCAGAAGAATAGTATATAGGAACAGAATAGGGGCTAAGAAATATTAGCAAATAGAATAATTTTATTAGAAAAAGTAATTCCCAACAAACCCCAAGGCAAAAAAATCATGCAATCCCAAATGTCTACCTGATACAGAAGTAGCACTGCAGAAGCTAAAGTAAGACCAAGAATTTGGAGGTTTTGGAGTAGAAATTTAAAATTAAAGAGTGGAGAAGAATAAAAAAGCTCTGTGGGAAAAAAAAGTGTCTGAGAACTGTGGTTATTTAGCCTAGTCTTGGGAGGATTCAAAGTTTTAAGTCTAGAAAATAATATTGCATGGGCGGCAGAAGGCAACTTTCCTTTGTTTCAAATGAAGGTAAGTAAGAACCATCTCAATTGAGGCAAAAAATTATTTGGATTAGAATTTAAAAAAAACCATTTTTACTATTATAATAATGAGACACTAGCAGGGGTGACCAAAACAAGCTTTGAAGCCTTTTACTTTAAGATGCATTTTACTGGGACACAGGAAAGGAATTTCTGCCTAAGGACAAGAGATGAACTAGAAAATGTAAAGTATGCTGAGGCCCGGTGGAGCCCAAGAGGGCCAAATGTCTTCTCGCATTTTCTTTTTTAAATAGTGATAGCATACAATTCCCTTTGGAAAAGATCATAAAATGAGATTTTGTATAATCAAAAAATGCTTTAAGGGTGACATAAGTTTGGAAATCCAAAGCATGAAGCAAGTTGTGGATCTTCTTTCAAAAAGCACTCACATAATTAAGCAAGCTTTCCACCCTAAATAGAAGCATTCCCTTTCTCCTCTGTTTACCATAATTGTGCCAACTGTACCTATCTCTCCAGAGGCTACTCACTCAACCCATTTGTTAATGATTTGGATCACGAAAAAGAACAACCCCACCACAATGTAACAACATGCTTGGAAATTAAATGCAGCTTTCTCTCTTTCCTAGTACTAGAACGTTATTTTCTTAGAAAAGTTTTCTTGGTCTTGGATGCAACCACAAGGAGTAGTGATGTATCTAGACAGACTAAGACCTTAGTCCTGAAGACAAATAAGTGATAGCTTCATTAAGCCAAAAACACTGAGTTTGTATATATAATGAAGCTTCAGTGAGAACGCTGAATTATCTCTGCAGAACTGAAGACCATCAAAAGGCTACACTGGCTGTTTGTTTTATAGCTTACTAGTTCCCATGTTCTGATATTAACTAGTTGACAAGATTCCTCTAATCAAGTGGAAATAAGTTTTGAACCCAAACACATAGTTTATGGCAAAAGGCTGTTTCTTGGGCAGCCAACCAATCCTATAAGACCTAATGATGAAGCCCACGGCATGAAGAGGCAGTTGGAGGGGTTGAGTAAATAAAAGTGAAGAAAGAATTCAAAGTAAGAAATGAGAATCAGACTCTTGACATCAGCAGCAAAGTTCAAATTAAAATACTAATTAAGTATATCTTATAGTTTAATGGCTCTGGCAAAGGTGCTTTGCTTGCTGGCTGGTACATGGCAAAGAAAATAATTGCAGAAAAGAGAATACAGATGAGAAAAGGGGAAGGAAACCCATGTACCTTCTCTGCACCAAACTTGCGAGTTTCACATCTTGATGGATCTGAGGGCCATTAAAGTCATAAAAAAAAAAACAACTCAAGTCCCTAAATTAACAGGCTTCAATATGAAACTTCTTTAATGCAATTCAAAACTGTCCCCGTTACCTACCCCCCTCACCACCCTATAGGGTCCCTCCCTTCCTCCCCATAAAAATGTAACTTGAGATGGGAACTACTCTAGTTTTAGAAAAAGGAAAGCTAGCTACTGGACAAAGGTGATTTAAATTCAGTCCTGCTCAGGGATTACTAGAAGTCACTTCCAGTTGAAGATTTTAATAGGACTGAGAGGAGAGAGTATAAATTCAGATCTGTCTGTGGTGAGAATTTGGAATTAGCTTACTTTAATTCAGTTAGGAAAATAAATTAATGTTAATTTAAAATTAGTCAAGATGTTACTCCCAAGAAATCTAAAAGTAATTCATTTTTTGATTCATTTTCGTGGTGCTAATTGGATATAAAACGGCATGCAATTATTACCCATACACCCATGACCAGAGTGAAGAAAAATCATCTCCCACCCCATGGAACCTGGTACCTTTTCAAGTAGGTTGATACATAGGTAGAAGGAGCAACTGTCTGTGGAGTTTCACTTCCCTTTGCTTCATCCCTCCACAGCTGCCGTGTATAGGAACCACTCCTCACTAGATTAACAGCTGATTCTCTGTAGAGGCATGAAAGAAAAATAAAACAAAGCACTGATTCCTACCACCAGTTTTGTCCACGATACAATGCAAACTGGGAGGGGTGCCTGGGAGGCTCAGTTGGTTAAGCATCTGCCTTTGGCTCAGGTCATGATCTCAGGGTCCTAGAATCAAGCCCCACATCAGGCTCCCTGCTCAGCGTGGAGTCTGCTTCTCCGTCGGTGGGGGGGCCGGGGGGGGGTGTTGGGAGAGAAGAGCCAGGGACAGAAACTGTAATATGATGGCGAAAGAAATAGACACACTTTTCAAGTGATACTTGGTTTTATATAAACCTGTTTTCTGTATACATAGAGAATGGGTCAAGTATTACTACTGCCTGCTTTCTTTTATCAACTTCAAAGCCAACTAACTTCAACAGGTACCAAATCCTTTTATCAAAGGTCTCCAATTCTTTGGTAATGAGAACTCACTTTTGTTTCTCCTTTAAAGGGCTTTACAAAGCCAACAGGTTGTTCATAAGTAAGCAGAGAAGAGGATGATGGGGAAGATGAGGAAGTCTGTCACAAGGGAAAGAGGTAACTAGCACAGAGGAGGAAAAGAGAAGAACCTGCTAGAAGTCTACTTAGTGTTATAAATAAAAGTCGTCCAGGAAAGGGCTGTAGTAGGATTTCTAATTCACAACTGTTCACTCAGGGCCTTTGCGACCAAAGCTGCGGCTCTCCGGAGCAGTCCTTCTCAAACTTCAATGTGCATTTGAATGACCTAGAGAATTTTTGTTAAAACCCAAGTTCTAATTCAGCAGGTCTGAGGTGGGGCCTGAGATTCTGCATTTTTAACATGCTTCCAGGTGAAACCAATGCTGCTGGTTGGGAAGACCACACCTTAAAAAGCAAGGTTCTCGATCAGGTTCTGTTCTGAGATGCAGCAATACCTCAAAATCCTCACATTCATTTTAACTGATGAGGAAGACTTGAAATTTTATGTACATACACATTAGAAGTTGATCACTAATTAAATAACAATACCTTTAGTGTTTACCATGGAATAGGTCGTGTGCTAGGCACTAGGGGTCCCTGAGAAACCAGACATAGACCCTACCTTTACAGAGCCTGCTGGTGTACTAAAACAAATTCACCCTTGGAAGGGCCGGGGAAGACTTCCTAAAGACAGTAAGACCCAAGCTGAAGTGAGAGCCTGAGGGGCGAAGGGCAAAGCAAGAGAGCAAGGGCTGGGAGGAGCTCTAAGCAGAAGGAATAAACAATTCATAATGTGCTAAGGGCACCTGCGGAGAGATGGCTGCAGAGCGATGGCCAAGGCATCACTATGCCTAGGAAAGTTACAGAGGACCATCTTTTGGACTGCATTAGGATTACCTGTTCTCCTTTTCTTCAATGTCACTCGTGCTGCTGAGCTTCCGGGGCGCTAGTGAACTAAAATAGCTTTTGTTTTCTCTCTCCTGTAAAATCAAAACAAGTAAAACACAGAGAAGGTACAATACTGACACGGTGTAACATTCTGGGTAAAAAAGCAGAGATCAATACACCTATATCATTTTATTTCTAGATCCAATACCAATTCTGGTTTGAGTGGTATTACAAAAGGTTACCTTTCAAAGGCTAATTCCTACCTCTCCTCCATTAAAAGACCAATATACCGGGAAATAATTCTCATGGGAAAGGCCAAAACGATCAAAAAAGGAAAACAGCAGCACAAATTACACAAAGCCAACAGCCCTGCCAAGAGAGATGGAGCCTTTGAAAAGCCACACAGAAAGCTCCACTCTAAAGTTCTTAATGAAATAAGCCTTATTTCTTCCCCAGCCTATCTTCTCTTTGAAATGCAGCTTCATGCACAACAAATATGCTGCAGAATTCATCCAACCAATATGACTCATCTCCTTGAGGAGTCTCCAGAAACAATATTGAGCAGGGGACTACGGTTACAGGGCAGACCTGACCCCAGAGAAGAGCATCAGGTAAGCCCTAGAAAATCTGGAACCAAAAGTTAAGAAATAAAAATGCACTGATCTTGGATGATTATGTGGATGAGCTGTTATACATCTAGTAATGAAAAAAATAAGGCATTTAAACATTTTTTTCTAAGTGCTAATTTGCCTGAGCTTCATTAGGATCGAAAGTCCGGCTAAGGAACTTTGCTTCCAAACACTGAAACAATAAATTACTGGTATTGGTTCAAGGGAACCTTAGGCCATGTCCAAATTTTCATGTTTCTGACTAAATTTATTTTATTTTATTTTATTATTTATTTGCCCTACGTAAGGAGGGTAAGGAAGAATGAACATAAGATATGCCAAAAGATAAAAGGTTTTTCTTTTTTGGCCGAGTAATAATAGCAAGCAAATAGCTAACTGATTAAACTATCAATGTGCCATCTCCCTTTAAAGGCTTTGTACTTCCAGAATCAAATCAGGGACTAGAACACACTTTCATTTGCTCCTGAGACTGAATTTTCACAGACGGGAACTGCCCAGGAACTCCCCCGTACCCTGCCTAAACTGCACCTTATCTTTGTTGTCCAGCAGAGCAGAAATCCGAGGGCTTGATGATGACCGGTAGATGGAAGAGCCTCGGTCCCTTAGAGCTTCCCTAGAATTGGCCACCTCACTCAGCATGTTCTGGCTGCCAGTTTTTCTGAGTCCCAGTCTCCACGAAGAAGGAGATTCATCTTTGGGCTCTTCCGGCTTATTAAAAAGGCTGGAGGAGAACTACGAGGGAAGAAGCAAAGAAAAGAAAAGAAAAGGGAAAAAAAAAAAAGGTCCTGATGATTCTTTTCAGCCTATTTGCCTTTTCCCACACTGACTAAGTTCAGTGAGGCAATATAAGGCAGTACAAGAACAAATACATGGCAGGCTTTCTGCCAATGTTCCCTTCCTCACCTGGCAGATGCTAATAACCGCTCAAGACTGCCCTTCTCCCTGAGCCAGAAATAGTCTCAGATTCTTAACAGTGCTCCTACTGACAGAGTTGCTCTCTGAGAAATTAAACACTATTTGCTCTCTTAGCAATGAGTACTGACCTAGAACACCAGGAGATCCACGTTCTAGTAAAAATATCTTCTCTTGCTTGACTCACTGTGTAACTGAAAATGGGACATTTTACTTCTCTAGGTCTCAACATGCTCACCTGTAAAATGGTGATAATGAGCTTAATTCCTCCTTATAATATGTGGAGACTAGAAAACACAATGAGCCGATGTATGAGTATGTTTTAAGGTACTGTGATAAGACTGTGGTAAGCTGACTTAAGTTAATACTAATAAAAATACTAAAACTCACTCCATTCAAATTCTAATTGCTTATTTCAAGAAAATAGTTTATTTGATCTTGAGCAGCAGTTCCAAGTGTTTCAGATTTCACCAAGCAGCAAAATTAAAAAAGAAGAAAAATGGTAGAAGTCATAGAGTTGCCATCTTTTAGATTTTGCCGGAAGAACATCTTTCAAAAACTTGCTTACCATTTTCAACACTATCATTTCATTAAAAAAAGAAAAACATTTTAACCTCAGAAAAGAAAGCTTTCTGGAAAGCTTACATAACTTACATAACTGCCATAAACCACAGAAAACATCATAGACTAGTGTTAACCAACAAACACCAGTCTGAAGTAACTGGTCTTTAGAACTGCAGTCAACAGTCCATTCCTGGGATCTGGGGGACCTCTGCAAGATGGCTTTGGTCTTACTCCAGGTATCAGGCCACCTTTACTGCCTGGTATAGTGAAAATGCAATAAACACTAAATCACTCATCTCCAGCTCACACTCAGATTTTCTCTTTTAATTAGTCATCTGAATATATATATTTATGTACTCCTTCCAGCTGTAGAGGCTCAATCATGTCAGCTCTTTATAAGCCACCCTGACTCTGAGAGTCACACACACACTCTCTTTCAAAAATAAAACAAAAAAATAAAATAAAAGAAATTAAAAGAAAGCAAGAAGTCCAGTCACACCTAGAAGCAGTGGGAGTATGTGAGGTACAGCTAAATGCCGGAGTGAGGAGTGAGGTCTGTGTCCTATCTGAGACATCTCTACAGATTCAAAGTGATGCTCATAGGAATAAATAAGCAGCCAGGGCTTTGTTTCCTCATCTCCACAATGATACCATAATCCTGTCTTTTTAATTCATGAGGCACTAAGAAGATCAGTAAGTTAGTATCTATAAAACCATGGAGTTTTTTCAACAGCTTTCTTCCCAAGAATTCATTATCAATTCTTAATCTCAAAACTAATTGTATCCTTTGTAGAGCAAGGTCATTATTCAACTCTGTCTCACTGACTAGAAGCCTATAGCTTCTCAGAAGCCTGGGCCAAACTGCAGGAGGAGGTGTCTCTGGTACCTCAGCAAGTTCTTTCTACCTCTGCTCTCTACTCATTATGAGTACTACCAAGACTTTACTTATAAAAGTAAAATTTTAAACAAGATGTAAAAAAAAAAGGACATAAGTCATCAAATCAATTAATACTGAATGCTAGGGGCGCCTGGGTGGCTCAGTCGTTAAACGTCTGCCTTCAGCTCAGGTCATGATCCCAGGGTCCTGGGATCGAGCCCCCCATTGGGCTCCCTGCTCTGCAGGAAGCCTGCTTCTCCCTCTCCCATTCCCCCTGTTGGTGTTCCCTCTCTCGCTGTCTCTCTCTCTGTCAAATAAATAAATAAAATCTTTAAAAAAAAAAAATACTGAATGCTAGCTATCTTCCTAACCCAGTCTGAGCTTTATATATACTTACCTACTTAGCCGTAGATACGAAGAAAATAAGCAATGGACAAAATTCTTTGGTCCCAGATCACTATATCCTATGTTATCTAAACACATTGTACCCAAATTTGTTTGGTGATGGATTTATAGTTTTTGCAGGCAATGTTATAAAAGCAATGTTTGTGCACACCCTCGCCCCCATCCATACCTTGAAGTTCTAATCCCCATTGTGACTATAATATTTGGCGGTAAGGTGGCTGTCTGCAAACTAGGAAGAGATTCCTCACTAGGAACTGACTCAGCTAGCCCCGTGTGACACAGTTAGTCCCGTGATCTTGGATAGCCCAGCCTCCGGAATTGGGAGAAATAAATTTCTGTTGTTTAAAGCCACCTGGTTGGTGGTATTTTGTTATGGCAGCCTAAGCTGACTAGGACAGGCAAGATGTATCTGTATTATCTTGCAAAAATGTATCTTTAAGGCCTTTCAAACTGTATGTAACCATAGTAGGAGAAATATAATATTCAAATTAGTTCCAAAATACTCACTCTCCTAGCTGAAGAGGCAGAGAAGGTATTCTGAGCCGGTGGTGGTATCTGTTCCGTGATAATACTCTTGCTTTCAGAGTTGGAATGGTTGACAATGGCTTCTGGCTTTTTATCTATTATTTAAGACAAGAGAAGCAACAAGTGCAAGTATGAAAACCTTATCTGTGTGTATGCATGTACTTTTCTGCTAACAGAAAAGGTTTACCCATATCAAAACAGATTATTAGGGCCATGTAATGCTTGGACTCAAACTAAAATGAAATCTCTAGCAAAGTTGCCAAAAGGAAATAAACTCAATGGTAAAATTCCTTTCTTGGTAGGTTCCAATTCCCAGATATATAACTGAAAACTTTCTCCACATTATGTATCATATATAAAATTTGTCAGTAAGTACGTAATAAGAATCTACTCTGTTTTGGGAGATTGGGCAGGAAAAACCAGATAGATCTTGCTTTCTAGGTAATTATAATCAAGACATGAGATAAGATGCATAATGATAATAGTAACAATAGAAGATCATATATAAGTTAGGTGCTAAATTGGGTGAGTTGGATCAACGGGGCTTTATGAGTTCAGAGTAAATCCTCTGAGGGAGGAAACAACAAGGAAAGATGCCATAGAGAAAATTGGAAGACAAATACCGACTGGCAGGAGGAAGAAAGGGTATGAGTAATGAATCAGAAATCAAAATATACACATCTGTTGGTCAGTAAATTTAAGTCTAAGCAGGACTAATTTAAGCAGGCCTAATTAAAGTAATGAATATTCTTGGGATTACAATAGGAAATAAAGGTAGAAAGGATTACAGAGGATATTGCGAGTTAAACTACAGAAGTGTAGTAGGTAAACCCTCTTAATAAATAACAGTAGTCCATGTTATAGGGCCATCAAGTGGAAACCCCGTCTGTCTCGTTCACTGCTACGTCAGTGCCTGCACCTAGTAGGTGTGGTGGGGCCTTCTGATCTATGTACTCTGGAAACAGGGCCCCAGAGTAATCCACCTATGAATTACATGACAAATTTATGCCACGTTTTAGCTGTGTGACACTGGGCAAATTTACTTAACATATATGAACCTCTCTTTTCTCACTGATTAATCAGGAATTTTAATTCTTACCTATGAGTTGCTATAAAGTCTAGAGATAATGTTTTTAAATTGCATCGTTCAATGTCTGGCCATAATAAGTCCCTAGTAAAGAGTAATTTATTATTAATGTTATTTCTTGTGGTTATTATGAATATTCAAGGCATTCTTTCAATATTATCTGAATATCTCTAACCCCAAGAAGTATACCTTACTACCCAAATGTGACAGATCATTATAGTAAGAACTCCCAATGAATCTATACCCCTGTGTAGTGGCCTCTCAGATTGACTCTGGGCTTGGCAATGTGACTCTCTATGGCCACTGGGATATTAGTAAAGTGACACAAGGAGAGGCTTGGAAAGTGCTTGTGCACTGAACCTTGCCCTCTCGTCTTGTGGAATCCAGCCGCCGTGTGAAGAAGCAGGGGAGAGTCCGCTTGATGAACACGGCCCACTTGCCTCAAACATCCTAACCAACTACCAGAAAGGTGAGTAAGGCCATCTGGGACTAGCCAGCCCCCAGCTGACTTACCAACTGACCACCAACACATGAGTAAGCCCAGTATTACCACACGGAGGAAAGAAAAGCCATCCCAGTGAAGCCCTTCCCAAATTGCCAACCCATAGAATTGGGTTTATATAAATAGTTGCTTTAAGCACCACTAAATTTGAGGATGGCTTGTTATTTAGCAATAGATAACTAATATACCAAATGTTTAAGTCAAATAAATAAAAGAAAGGGGAAAATAGAAATCCAAATCAAACTGCTTACATTCACCCCAAAAGAGAATTAGTATTCTTTACAACTACATTTATATGTAAGACATATGAAAACTGTCATTTTATGAGGTTGTATCTGTGAATCTTTAAAAACAGGATAAATGCATTCAACAAATACTTGTTCAGTACATACATAATGTGTCGGGCATCACTTGGAAAGGTTTAGACATAATCCAGTTCCCCATATTTTTCCAATAAACATTTATATATAATGTATATTTATAGGGACCTACCATATAGAAGGCCCAGTGCTAGGCATTATGGAAGACAGAAAGAGAAACAAGACACACAATACATTTCAGTGCTTCTGAAACTTGCTGGTAGGGGAAGAAGAGAGGAGATGAGAAACAAACAGAAATAACGCTACTACTAGGTAATGTAAGTAATATAAAAGAGGTTCAAACAAATAGCTACCAGTCAGAGGAGGGGAGAAAGCTTGTATCTGTGATGATAAGGCTTCATAAAGGAAGCTGACTTAAGCTGGGCTTTGAAATATGAGTAAAACTTCAACGGGCAGAAAGGAGCAGGGAAGCGTGCTGGAACCATCTAGCTTCTGCCTACATCAGGCTACAGAAACTGCTGAGATTACCAGACTCCCTAAATGCTGTCTCTTTCTTGACCTCTCCCTTCCCACTCCTACCCTGGCTTTTCTTTCTTTCTTTTTAGGATTTTATGTATTTGACAGAGAGAGAGAGCATGCACAAGCAGGGGGAACGGAAGGCAGAGGGAGAGGCAGGTGGAGGGAGGAGGAGAAGCAGGCTCCCTGCTAAGCAAGGAGCCTGACATGGGGCTCGATCCCAGGACCCTGGGATCATGACCTGAACTGAAGGCAGACGCTTAACCGACTGAGCCACACAGGCAGCCCCTACCCTGGCTTTTCTGATGCAGAAACACATATCCTGGTTTTCCTCAACCTCCCTGACCATACCTTCTTTGCCTCTTTTTACCTCCTAAACAGAGCATGCCCCACGATTCTTTTTTGTACATCTTTTCTCTACAATCTTTCCCTTGGGAAATCTTGTCCTTTTCCACACCTTTAGCTTCCACCTTTTAGGCAGATAATTTCCACATTTCACTTTGCCCCTGCTACTCTGAGGAGTCTCAGATCAAAGTCAGGATCTCAGGCACACCACTTGCCAGCTATGAGACCCAGTTTGCCTTACCCCTTACAGGGTCAATTTCCCACTCTAAAATGTGGTGATAATACATCCCTCAGGGTGTGGTTGTAAGTACATTGTAGAGTAAAAAGCACTACCCAAATGTAAAGTGTTGTTATAATCCCGCAAACTAAATATAATCTTTCTTACTAGTGAATACCATTGACAACATTTATCTCTCTCATGTGGCATGTATTTTATTCATGTATATGCCTTCCTATTCCCCTGTATGTCCTAGATGTATCCAACAAAAAGCATTTAATGAATGTGAATGCTTGTCCTGTGTCGGGCATCATGCAGAGATCTAGGAGTAAATGATAAACCTAGAGTTCTCAGCTGAAATGGTGAGTGTTACAACAGAGATAAGTATGAAGTGCTAGAGGGATACAGACACGGGAGCAATTATCATGGGGTGGGGGAACAGTGAAGTGGTCCACTGCTTTTCACTTTTTTTATACAGGAAAACCTAAAGAAAGGCTTCTTCATCCTGGTAAATCCTATAGCTTAAAACAGAAATCACTCAATAAGCATTTGATGGTCAGAAATGAATTTTAAGGTGCAAATAAATGTTCAGGGGTAGGAAAGCTCAGGGCATGTTTGGGGAAACCAAGCAATGCAGCTTGGCTAGTAGATGACACTGCCTATGGATAGCACTGGAAAGGTCAGCTAGAGATATATTATTAAAGATCTTGAAGGTCAGGTTACAGGACTTGGGATTTATTCTACAGGCAAAGATGGGAGTGGGGAAGGTGGTCATAGATGGCTTCTGGACAGAGGTGTAGTATAACCTAAGGGTGCTGTGGGTGTTTTACTCCAACAGCAATGTAGAGATGGGTTGCAGGGACCAAAGACCTGAGGCATGGGTACATATCACGAAGCAATTATAGTAGTTCAGGTAGCTCCCTCCCATTTTTCTAATACCTTGGTAGTTAACAAAGTGATCTAGCACAGAGCAAGACCAAATAGAAATACTTGAAAGCTTAAGACACGTAACTCCTTAATAAATAATAAAAACATAAAAAAGATGAACATTTATAAATTTTGATAGGTATTACACTAGCATTTCCAGAGCAAGCTGTGCCTGCTTCATAACAGAAATTCAAGGCTCCATGAGTAAAAGATCATCTCCTATGCTATAAACTTAGTTGGTGCCTATCTTCTCTACACAATCAATGGTCTCTAATTTCCTTTGGTGACATTCAGTGAGCTAATACTAATACTACTAATACAAGCCAGTGAGGATAGGACACATGTACTGTAAAAATCTTAGTTATCATTAACTTCCAATTATCCATGAGAGCTATTCTGTTGCAGGTGAACCACTACTTAGTAAAACCCAGTATGTCTTTTCTCAGTGTTTGCCAGACTGTATATCAAAACCTATGGCTGCTTCTACAGCTTGTGGATCTGACCATGTCCAGCACCTCACTCTCACTATTGGGTTTCCTGTCTTGCCATATAATAAACTTAAGAAGTGTCATATGAAGTATATATAATATTAATAACAGGGGCGCCTGGGTGGCTCAGTTGGTTAAGCGACTGCCTTCGGCTCAGGTCATGATCCTGGAGTCCCGGGATCGAGTCCCGCATCGGGCTCCCTGCTCAGCAGGGAGTCTGCTTCTCCCTCTGACCCTCCTCCCTCTCATGCTCTCTGTCTCTCATTCTCTCTCTCTCAAATAAATAAATAAAATCTTTAAAAAAAAAAAATATTAATAACAGTCATAAAGGTAAATATGATTTTGTTCCTTCTTCAATCCCCACCTCAGGAATTGAAGGAGCTTCATATAATCAGAAGGAAAATGAAAAGATCTTGGGATTTTGTTTAGGGAATCAGATGAACCTGAGAACTAAATGCAAATTTTCATCAGCTAGTTAAAGATACTTAACCAAATATGACTCTGAAAGATCTCACCTCCTCAGTCTCTTAGCATACTGAATTTTGGAATCTGGTCTCTACACCCTACCAAACTGAGGTCAGACAGTTGGCTCCTTTACACAAGAATTTCTGGCGGGCTCCTGGGTGGCTCCTGGGTGGCTTAGTTGGTTGAGTGTCTGACTCTTGATTTCCACTCAGGTCATGATCTCAGGGTTGTGGGATCAAGCCGCCAGTAGAGCTCCATGCTCAGTGCGGAGTCAGCTTGAGATTCTCTCCCTCTCCCCCTCCCCGCCTGCTTGCAGGCCCATGCATGGGCACTCTAAATCAATCAATCAATCAATCAATCAATCTTTTTTTTTAAAGGAATTTTTTTGTGCGCCTTATCATATGGCTACATAGAAACCAATACACATATTCTAACCTAGCTCATAGCTTTTACAACCAAGTTTTCACTCAAAATTTGGTATCTTATCTTTGAAAACTAAACTTAAAGAACTTAAAGCTCTTTTTGGAGCCCTCTGAGGCCTCCTAGCTCTGACAAGCAGTGATCTCCTTGCATTATGGAAACAGAGGATCTTTACTATGAATATCTTTACATTACCTCCTTCCTTCTCAGTTTCTGACTCAGAAGCTTCATCTTCACCTTCCTCCTCCTCTGAGCTGGAGCTGCTAGACTCTTTGCTTTCTTCCTCCATTTCTTGGGACTTGGGTACCTCTTCTTCATAAAGCATCTTCTCTTTGCTAAATTAAAGATGACAATTTGAGTGTAACTCAGAAACGGCAAACTATTTAAGTTCACTGACAATCAAGCATAAGGAGAACAAGTCTATAAACCTCTGTGTAGAAGCAATAACAGAAATACTTCAAATCCTTCTTTACATTCTTCTGAATCCTTGGGTTTTTGCAGACTAAGGTTCAGTATTTCACTTTAGAGTATGACTTAAGTGGATCTAGCCTATTTAACACACAGGAAAAAGGAGGGCTATGAATCTTGACAGTGATAAAGCAGGTAAATATTTTTAAAAAGTCATTTAACAAATGTTTACTGAATGTTTATTACCTGCCAGGAATCATGCTAGGCCCTGGTACAGTGGTAAACAAAACACACATGGTCCCTGAGTTCACAGAACTTAGAGTCAGGGATGTAACTAGGACTAGGAACCCATAAGCTGGGGGAAAAATGTTGTACACTGTCTCAGTTAATTTCTAAATTTAAAACACATTCACCCGGGGCAGCTGGGTGGCTCAGTTGGTTGAGCATCAGCCTTTGGCTCAGGTCCTGAAACCAGGGTCCTGGGATTGAGCCCCCCGTCCGCTGCATCAGGCTCCCTGCTCATCAGGGAGTCTGCTTCTCCCTCCTCTTCTGCCCCTCCCCCTGCTCATGCTCACACACTCTCTCTCAAATAAATAAATAAAATCTTAAAAATAAATTAAAAAAAAAACACATTCACCCACCCTCAGTGTCTCCCCCATATATCAATGCCACCTCTTTGTCCCTCAAACATACCACATGTTTAAAGATCATTTGGCTTAAATCAAACACAGTTTCTTTCCTGTATAAATTCTCAAGCTATGTCATACACACATATGCAGCCAAACACAGCAGAGCTCATCCCATTCCTCAAGTCCTGAACGTCTTACTTCTTAAAAAGTCCACTCTGCAACTTGCTGTTCAGGTCTGACTCAATGAGCTTATTCCGTGTCTCTTTTTCACTTCGAAGCTGGAAATTGAAAAAACAGAGAGGAAAGGGAAGAAGTTGACTATTGGTAAAAATCAGCAGTGATGAGAAGAACTCAAAATGGTACTGTCATTCTGAAGAAAACAAGACCAATACCAAAAGGGGAAGAAAGAACTGAGAAAAAGAGAAATGCATCAGTTGGGTCTCCTTACAAGATAATGACAAAGAAAAATCCTCATCCAAGGTAAAAGAAAAACCATGGTGTTAGAGCTTCAATAAAACTGCTCATATCAAATATCCAAACCCAATCTTCAAAAAACCCTGGCTTCTAGTGCAGGCCGGCTGGCTCATTCAGAAGACCATGTGACTCTTGATGTGGGGGGTTGTGACTTCAAGCCCCACGTTGGGTGTTGAGAGATTACTAAAAAAAAATAAGTAAACTTAAAAAAAAAAAAAAAAAAAAAAAGCCTGGCTTCTGATGGATTAAAAAAAAAGGGAAGGAACTTTGAAAAAAATGTTTATGGCCACATATCGAATTAGGTTAGCAATAGTTCTCAAGAAAAAAACAGGTACCAAAGGGGAAATAAGTCCTTAGAATAAATTGTCTGGTATTTAGATACATGCTCTAGACAAAATGAGTTTATATTCCTGGACCCAAAAGTTATGCAGGGAGCAAAGATAAGCACCATTCCCAGTGCAGAAATGTTATTTAGTGAAAATATTATTTATGTTCAAAAACCAAACCATGCTGGGTAAGGGATACATAGAAACTCTCTATTATTTTCGCAACTTCTTCATGGGTCTAAAAATTATTTCAGAATGACAAGTTTAAAACACAACAAAAACCTAACTAAACAAAGCATACATCTTAGGAAGGCCAATGCTGTTAGATAATAACCCCAGTACTCTGTGTGATGAGTCCCAAGTTTTAGCCTAGATTCCACAGCTCACCAAAGAAAACAAGATGAACTGTTAAGTTGTGTTTGTCTGAGCTTTATATAGGCAATTGTTCCACTAAGCCTTGAAGTAACGGGGATCTTCACTCTACCAGTCCAGACGTGGTGCTGAACATGCGTGAGGTGAGATCCGGTTGATCTGTCCCACCAGTGAACTCCATTGTTATTTTTTTCAGAACTGCTCTAAGTTTCTCTCCTTTGTCTAAACTTGAGTTCACATGCCCTGAGCCACAATTCATGCAAAGAAAAACACAAAGGAAAGCTAGTGATTTTTTTCTGTCCCACTCTATTCAGACATCAGCCCTGATCATCAGTAGCTGATCTTTATTCTCCTTGTCCAAATTAATCATCCCACTTACAGATAGAAAAAGTGAATTATTCACTGTTTACCTGGATATTGGGTGGGTTTTTCCTTCTGCAGTCTGTACATGGGTACAATACTTAGGTAGTTCTCCTACATAGCACCAAGCAAGAGAATGGTACGTGCAAGCCAACAATAAAAGATTTAAAATGAGAAGGGAGAGGAGGATTGGGGCACCTGGGTGGCTCAGTTGGTTAGAAGACTGCCTTCGGCTCGGGTCATGATCCTGGAGTCCCGGGATCGAGTCCCGCATCGGGCTCCCTGCTCAGCGGGGGGTCTGCTTCCCCCTCTGCCCTCTTCCCTCTCGTGCTCTCTGTCTCTCATTCTCTCTCTCTCTCTCAAATAAATAAATAAAATCTTAAAAAAGGAAAAAAAAGAGAAGGGAGAGGAGGATTGAATTCTGGATATCTGATGAATCCTGAGTAAGTATGAATCACTGGCCAAGTACTGTCCAATACCAAAAGACAGGTTTAGTTTTGTGGCCTTGTTTGCTTCGTAAGAAAGAAATATATTCCTCCCTGTAATGAATTTACTTTAAATAAACATGCCCTTTCAGTCAATAAGAGGAGAAAAAAGTTATGAGATGTCCTCTACCCTGGTACTCCCTATTTGGAAAAAACTCTGATTTGAATATACCACATTCATTTCCTAGAACTCAAGGGTAATAATTACTTTGTTGTTCTCATCATTTTTGACTTTCAGCTGCTTGAAGGCTATCTTATAATGAGTAAACTTTAACAACAATGGTGTCTGGGATATTTTCTAACAGACTGCTGCTAGTCCCTGAAGTGAACAATTATCATCTCTGGAATGTAGATATGTCCATTTCAGCTCTCAGGAGACATAACTAAAACAAGGGATGAGATACCCGCACTGTTATAAAAGCTTTTAAAAGCATTAACCAAAGACTTACCACATTCTGCTTCTTCTGGAGCATCTCCAAGTGCTCCACAAGACCCTCATCAGCCACATCAAATGGTGTCTGGCCCTGGCAGAGAAAAGGGGGTACCATGATCAAAAGAAAATAGAAGTAGTGATTTTGTGACTTCATCAGAGAACTATTCAATACTCATTTTATGCCTTTGTTCCAGTGAGAGCTGCTTCCCTAACCTATCTACTCTACATTATAATAATGCCTTCATCTATCACAGAGAAAACGTAACAAGAAACAGCATGTCTGTTGGGGAACCTGGGTAGCTCAGTTGGTTAAGCGTCTGACTCTTGATTTTGGCTCAAGTCATGATCTCAGCGTTGTGAGATTGAGCCCCATATCAGGCTCTGTGCGTGGAACCTACTTAAGATTCTGTACTACCTCCGCCCTTACCCACTCACACTCTCTTCCTCTAAAACAAAGCAAAACACATCAAGTCCTTTAAATACATGTTTTTATATTTAATAAAACAGTATTGAGGAAATCACCACATTATCTCTAATGCTTACTGCCTCTTGGCATATAATCAATTGAAATCTCTACTTGTACCTGTTCTAAAAGGGTCTTAATTTCTATAATAAATTCAATAAGGGGCTTTTAAAAGCCTCAGAACGGGGTCCAGGGCACATGTGCACTAAAGATTAAGTCACAGCAGTTATCTCCCTTCAAGTGAGAGAAGGGTATCTCTTTTAGGAAACATCAGCACAGTTCAGGACCATAACCCATAAACTGGGGATGAAAGCTGGGTTCAGGAGAGATGTGAAGCAGATAAGAACATCTACTAAATAAAAAGCCATGTCTCTGGATTCCTAAAAAAAAATCACTAGGTGTAGGGATAGGAGTTCTAGGGCCTCTGAAGTTGCTTGAAGTGAGGATGAATAACTATTTTCGGCCAGACTCAAGGATCTTTGTCATTACAATGTTTTTTTTAATGACTGGATGAGAGTAGAATTCAGCTATCAAAAGTCTTTGAATTAAAAATAAAGTAAAATAAAATCTTTCATACTTCACCAGAGAGAGCAACCTTAGGATTTCCCAATGCTCATTTTTCCCAAGGGCAAATATCTTTTTTTCCTATTTATTTTAGGGGCTTCAACATAAATAGAATCAGAATGCTGATCAGTAGAGTTTTATTTTACATAGCAAACATCTCTGTGTTGATAATGGGGCAGGGGGGAAGGGGGAGGATGCAGGGAACAGAGCCATAGCTACCTGTGATGTATATTTCCCCAGACAGTAAGCCTGGCCATTTAACTGAGACTTTAAGCCTTTTGTTCTAGAGACCCAGATACCAATTTCACTGCCCTTTTAGAGGGTCAGGCATACTAACCAGTTTGTTCCTGATATCCATGTCACAGAGTGCTTCTGCCAGGATGGAGCAAGCCTCCTTCACTCCCCAGTGTGCAGCAGCATGGAGGGGAGTCCAGCCATCATAATCCTGAACATTGAGTTCATAGCCAGCCTGGATTAAAAGTCTAAGAAGAAAACCCCAAACAAGACACTTACACCCTCTATATTACAGTTTTCTGCCAAATAAACTATCACCTAATTGATATTCACTTTGGCCCTGAACCACCGGGAAACTGTGATTACTTCTGTCCTCTAAGGCACAGCTCGGGCTTCACGGTTCCTACACTGAGAACCTATCACAGAGAGCAGTTATCAACCCGCTCTGAAAGGTCAGAGTGTATTTCCTAGGTACATCCATGTGACACCACACAAGAGGGATATTTAGAAAGGTGTATCCCTTTGAGATTCACCAAAGCCTGATTAAATTTGCCAAACCACACAACCTGTTACAAGGTGTGTTTTCCATTTCCTAGTGCAGGTAGGAAAGAACATCTAAAATGAGAACTCCCATCAACAGTGTAAGAGGGTCCCGTTTCTCCACATCCTCGCCAACACTTGTTGTTTCCTGCTGTGTTAATTTTTGCCATTCTAACTGGTGTAAGGTGGTATCTCAATGTGGTTTTGATTTGAATTTCCCTGATGGCTAACGATGTTGAACATTTTCACCCAATGTTCATAGCAGCAATGTCCACAATAGCCAAACTGTGGAAGGGCCGAGATGCCCTTCAACAGATGAATGGATAAAGAAGATGTGGTTCATATATACAATGGAATATTACTCAGCCATCAGAAAGGATGAATACCCACCATTTGCATAGACATGGATGGAACTGGAGGGGATTATGCTAAGTGAAATAAGTCAAGCAGAGAAAGACAATTATCATATGGTTTCACTCATATGTGGAACGTAAGCAATAGCACGGAGGACAATAGGGGAAGGAAGGGAAAACTGAAGTGGGGGAATCAGAGAGGGACTAACCATGAGAGACTCTGGACTCCAGGAAACAAACTGAGGGTTTTGGGGTGGGGGGAAATGGGATAGCCAGGTGATGGGGATTAAGGAAGGCACGTGTTGTGATTAGCACTGGGTGTTATACCCAACTAATGAATCACTGAACACTACATCTGAAACTAATGATGTACTGTATGGTGGCTAACTGAATATGAAAGAAAGAAAAAGAAGGAAGGAAGGAAGAAAGAAAGAAAAAGAAAGAAAGAAAGAAAGAGAAAAAGAACTCACTCACTCACTCAATACTCTTCAGGGCACTTGACTTACGAACTTTCTAGTTGATCTTTCCAGGATCCCATATGTTTACTGTAGACTCTCAAACTTCCAACTCTGTGAAGTATTTGCAGGGACTTCTTGCTAACTACAAAGCTATAATCTGTGTGCATGGAGGAAGAAAGGTATGACTCCTGAGGTCCCAAACTGCACTGGCCTGATTGAGGTTACCCATATCATGGGCCTCCAGACACCTTCTAAGAAGTGAGCAGAATATGAATGCCACTCTCAGGCAGAAACAGTATACTAACATACTGCCACACCTATTAGATACCCCATATTCGGTGGAGTATGAAGCACTGGAAGAGTCTGGCAACAACTATGCACACAAATCTATTAGCTGCCCATGTATTTGGGAAAGCCTGTCAACAGTAAGCACCAGAAGCTACCTAAAGCATGTATGGATGTAAGAAAAAATGGAACAGGTAGAGCAGTAGAATCCAAATCCCTCGTATCAGTTTAACTCTCTTACTCTAACTGGACACTGCACACTCAAGATCTGTACCCTTAATCTAAAGAGCCCAAAGAAATTTTCTATGTCCAAAAAGGACCAAAATGATCACCAGTCTGTCCTGTATTACACATCACCAGAGGAGAAGATTGTAGGGATAGTAATGATAAATCACAGCACTGGAAGAGATCATGTAAGGTCATCTTCTAGGCTAGTGTACCTCAACTGTTTCCTATCATACATGTCAGTGAGAAACTCACGTGACCATAGGAGGGTGGGAGACCATCTATGGATTAATATCAGCAAAAGAGAAGAAAAGACTGAATGATCAGAGAGGAAAACAATAAAGAAAGAAACACATCATAGCTGATAATCTAATTCATCCCCTGCTTCCAAAACCCAGCTCATCTTCTCCCAGTCTACCAAACTCCTGACTGATGTAAACGGACAATACCTGAGGACCTCAGAGTAGCCCTTGGCAGCAGCCACATGGAGGGCTGTGGCCCCTGAGCGAGGCTGCCTTACATCCTCTAGTTTCCCGCTGTTGAGCCACTGGCGGGCATCCTGTAACATCTGTTGTTCCTCTTCTTTTCGTGACTGCTCTAGATCAACTCCTGCAGAAACCAGAGAGCCAGCATTACTCAAGGCCCATTTAAATCTGACAGGATATTTTCCTTAGATTCTAAACACATCATAAATAAAACTGCAAATAACAGTTGAGTCATCAAGTTGGGTATTCATCAAATTTACTCTTTATTTAGAAGAGCAATGACATTTATACACATACTAGTAGTTTTACCAGGGTTAAATCATCATTTTAAATACTGTGTGATGGCAGATCCATTAAAGGAACACACTTAAAATTGAAAACAATTTTAAGAACATAAAGACCAAACTGGACATTAGTTTTGTATTATAGTATTTGTACAATGCTATACACTTCAAAGACCTTTTACATGTTACACCATTTTAGTTTCCCAACAATCCTTTGAGGTAAATATAATAGATATCACTATCACCATTTAACAGACGAGGAAATAAACATAGAAAGGTTAGGTGCCTCGCTCAAGGCCATAAAACACATTAGAGCTGTAACTAGAACTCTGGCATCCTAGGTCCCTGTCTATTGTTCGTTCCCACTTACTACTCCATAAGATTGGTATAAAAAAATATTGGTTTCAGGTATGATATACTTTAAAAAAATAATCTACCTCTAATGTTCACTTCCATACGTAGGAAAATATACTGACTTGAAGCTATATAATCTAGAGCAGCTGAGTAGGTCACGTGCAGTTAAAACTTCCAAGGGAATGTAGCTTTTGTTTTGCTTTAAAACATTATAGAGGAACTCCAAAAAGCTCCTCCCTTTAGGCAGCAACTGTCCAACATCTGTGCCACTGAAAAGGGGCTGGGGCGGGGCACTCCCTCTTATATAAAATAATGACATGATCAATTCACAGAAATCAGTTGCATTTCTATATACCAACAATGAGACAGAAGAAAGAGAAATTAAGGAGTCGATCCCATTTACAATTGCACCCAAAACCGTAAGATACCTAGGAATAAACCTAACCAAAGAGGCAAAGGATCTATATTCAGAAAACTATAGAATACCCATGAAAGAAATAGAGGAGGACACAAAGAAATGGAAAAACGTTCCATGCTCATGGATTGGAAGAACAAATATTGTTAAAATGTCTATGCTACCTAGAGCAATCTACACATTCAATGCAATCCCTACCAAAATACCTTCACCTTTTTTCACAGAACTGGAACAAATAATCCTAAAATTTGTATGGAACCAAAAAAGACTCCGAATAACCAAAGGAATGTTGAAAAAGAAAACCAAAGCTGGTGGCATCACAATTCCGGACTTCAAGCTCTATTACCAAAGCTGTAATCATCAAGACAGTACGGTACTGACACAAAAACAGACACAAAGATCAATGGAACAGAATAGCGAACCCAGAAATGGACCCTCAACTCTATGGTCAACTAATCTTCAACAAAGGACAAAAGAATATACAATGGAAAAAAGACAATCTCTTCAACAAATGGTGTTGGGAAAATTGGACAGCCACATGTAAAAGAATGAAACTGGACCATTTCCTTACACCATACACAAAAATAGACTCCAAATTTGGTTGAAAGACCTAAATGTGAGACAGGAATCCATCAAATTCCTTGAGGAGATCACAGGCAGCAACCTCTTTGACCTCGGTTGCAGCAACTTCTTGCTAGACACATCTCCAAAGGCAAGGGAAGCAAGGGCGAAAATGAACTATTGGGACTTCATCAAGATACACAGCTTTTGCACAGCAAAGGAAACAGTCAACAAAACCAAAAGACAACCAACAGAATGGGAGAAGATATTTGCAAATGACATATCAGATAAAGGGTTAGTATCCAAAATCTGTAAAGAACTTATCAAACTCAACACCCAAAGAACAAATAATCCAATCAAGAAATGGGCAGAAGACATGAACAGACATTTCTGCAAAGAAGATATCCAAATGGCCGACAGACACATGAAAAAGTGCTCAACATCACTCGGCATCAGGGAAATACAAAAATCAAAACCACAATGAGATACCACCGCACACCAGTCAGAATGGCTAAAATTAACAAATCAGAAAATGACAGACATTGGCAAGGACGCAGAGAAAAGGGAACCCTCCTACACTGTTGGTGGGAATACAAGCTGGTGTAGCCACTCTGGAAAAACAGTACAGAGGTTCCGCAAAAAGTTGAAAATAGAGCTACCCTATGACCCAGCAATTGCACTATTGAGTGTTTACCCCAAAGATATAAATGTAGTGATCTGAAGGGGCACCTGCACCCCAATGTTTATAGCAGCAATGTCCACAATAGCGAAACTATGGAAAGAGCCCAGATGTCCATCAACAGATGAATGGATAAATGTGGTATGATGTGGTATGTGTACACACACACACACACACACACACACAATGGAATATTATGCAGCCACCACAAAAATGAAATCTTGCCATTTGCAATGATGTGGATGGAACTAGAAGGTATTATGCTAAGTGAAATAAGTCAATCAGAGAAAGACAATTATCATATGATTTCACTGATCTGTGGAATTTGAGAAACAAGGCAGAGAATCATAGGGGAAGAAAGGGAAAAATGAAACAAGATGAAACCAGAGAGGGAGACAAACCGTAAGAGACTCTTAATCTTAGGAAACAAACTGAGGTTGGGAGGGGGGGTGAGGGGATGGGGTAACTGGGTGATGGACATTGAGGAGGGTATGTGTTGTAATGAGCACTGGATATTATATAAGACTAATGAATCACAGACCTGTACCTCTGAAACAAATAATACATTATATGTTAATAAAAAAATACCAAAAAAAATGACATGTCCCAAATACAAACATAGCCATTCAAAGAGTTCTATACTCATGAACAGGCTTTATCTGTGCTTGGTCTACTCCCTTCCAACTCACTTCCTAAATGAAAACCTGTGAGCTACCTAAGGATTATCTGTCTGATTTGGGGAGATTGATGGGGTGAAAGGGTAAGCAATTTATTTCTTTTTTTTTTCCAGAGTCACTGAGATGTAACAGACATATAACACTGTGTACATTAAATTTGTACATGTTGATTTGATACTTATATATGCAAAATGATCACTACAATAAAGTTAGTTAACAACAGTATCACCTCACATAATTATCATTTCTTTTTTGTGCTGGAAACATTTAAAATCGCTTAGTAACTTTCAAGTTCATAATACAGTATTGTTAATTACAGTTACCATGATGTACATTAGATCCACAGAACTTATTTTATAACTGGAAGTTTGTACCCTTTGACCAATATCTCCCCATTCATCCCCACCCCTAGCCCCTGGAAACCACCATTCTACTCTCTGATCATATAATATTTGTTTCTTTCTCTGTCTGACTTATTTCACTTAGCATAATGCCCTCAAGGCCCACCCATGTTGTTGTACATAGCAATATTTCCTTCTTTCTCATGGCTGAATAATATTCCATTATATATTCCATTATATATTCCATTTTATATATATATATATATATATATATAACATCTTTATCCATTCATCCATAGACTGACACTTAGGTTGCTTCCATATTTTGGCTATTGTGAATAATGATGCATTGAAAAGAGGAGTACAGATATCTCTTTGAGATCCTTTTTTTTTTTTAAGATTTATTTATTTTAGGGGAGGAGGGGCAGAGGGAGAGGGAACCCTCAAGCAGACTCCCCGCTGAGCAAGGAACCTGATGTGGGGCTCAATCTCAGAACCCTGAGATTATGAGCTGAGCCAAAATTAAGGGTCGACCGCATGACCGACTGAGCCACCCAGGCACTCTTCTCTTTGAGATTTTACTTTCATTTTCTTTGGATATATACCCTGAAATGGGACTGCTGGGTCATATGATAGTACTATTTTTAATTTTTTAAGGAAATTCCATGCGGTTTTCCATAGTTGCTATGGAAAATTTACATTCACACCAACTGTGTACAAGAGTTCCTTTTTCTCCACAGCCTTGCCAACACTTACTATTTCTTGTCTTTTTGATGATAGCCATTTGAACAGGTGTGAGGTGATATCTCACAGTGGTTTTGATTTCTGTTTCCCTGATGATTAGTGATGCTGAACATCTTCGCATAAACCTGCTGACTGTTTGTACATCTTCTTTGAAAAAATGTCAATCCAGTTCTGCCCATTTTTTGTTTTTGCTGTTGCATTCTATGAGTTCCTTATGTATTTATCAGATATATGATTTGCAGATATTTTTTTCCCATTCTGCAGGATGTCTTCATTTTGTTCATTGTTTCTTTTGTTGTGCAGAAACTTCTTAGTTTGATGTCGTCCTGCTTATTTATTTTCGCTTTTGTTGCTTGAGCTTTTTGTGTCATATCCCAAAAATTATTGTCAAGACCAATGGAAAGGAGGTTTCTCCCCATGTTTTCTTCTGGGAGTTTTATAGCTTCAAGTCATATGCATTAGTTCTAACTCCATTTTGAGTTAATTTCTGTGAGTGTTGTAAGATAGGGGTCCCATTTCATTTTTCTCCATGGGATTATCCAGTTTTCCTGACACCATTTATTGAAGAGACTATCCCTTCCCTAACGAGTCCTCTTGGCTCTCTTGTTCAAATATTAGTTAACTATGTATGTGAGGGTTTATTTTTGGGCTCTCCATTCTGTTCCATTGGTCTATGTGTCTATTTTTATGCCAATATCACACTGCTTTGATTACTATAGCTTGGTAGTATAGTTTTGGAATCAGGAAGTGTGATGCCTCCAACTTTGTTCTTTTTCAGGATTGCTTTGGCAATTTGGGGTCTTTTGTAGTTCCATACAAACTTCAGGATTGTTTTTTCTATTTCTGTGAAAAATGCCTCTGAAATTTTGATAGGGATTACACTGAATCTACAGATGGCTTTGGACATTTTAACAATATTAATTCTTTCAATCCATGGGTGGATTTCCATTTATATGTCTTCTTCAATTTCTTTCTTTTCAGATCTTTCGCTTCCTTGGTTAAATTTATTCCCAACCAATTTATTGTTTTTGATGCTAACAGTTTTTTGGTAGTCTTCAGAATTTTCTATACATGAGATCATAATCATCTGCACACAAAGAAGATTTTAGTTCTTCCTTTCTGATTTACATGCCTTGTATTTCTTTTTCTTGCTTGAGTACTCTGGCTAGGACTTCTAGTAGTATGTTGAACAGAAGTGGTGGGAGTGGGCACCCTTGCTTTGTTCCTGATCATAAAGGAAAAGCTTTTAACCTTTCACCATTGAGTATGATGTTAACCATGGGCTTGTCATATATGGCCTTTATTATGTTGAAATAATTCCTTCTATATCCAATTTGTTCAGAAGTTTTACCATGAAACGTTGTTGTAGTTTGTCCAATGCTTTTTCTGCATCTGTTGAGATGATGATTTTTACCTTTCATTCTATTAATGTTGTGTATCATATTTATTGATTTATGTATGTTGAACCACCCTTGCATCTCAGAGATAAACCCCACTTGATCATAGTGTATGATCTTTCTATTGTGCTGAATTTGGTTTGCTAATATTTCATTGAGAATTTTTGCATGTATATTCAGCAGGGATATTGGCCTACAGTTTCCTTTTCTCGTACTGTCCTCATCTGGCTTTAGTATCAGGGTAATGCTGGCCTCATAAAATGAGTTTGGGAGTGTTCCCTCCTCTTCACTTTTTTTGAAAGAATTTGAGAAGGACTGGTATTAATTCTTCTTTAAATGTTTGGTAGAATTAACCTAAGAAATCATCTGGTCCTGGGCTTTTCTTATTGTTTGATTACTGATTCAATCTCCTTATTTGTTATCAGTCTGTTCAGATTTTCTGTTTCTTCCTGATTCAGTCTTGGTAGGTTGCAAATTTCTAGGAATTTATCTATTTCGTCTAGGTTATCCATAGTTGTTTATAGTAGTCTTTTATCATGCTTTGTATTTCTGTGGTATCAGCTGTAATGCCTCTTCTTTCATTTGGTTTTATTTCAGTCTTCTCTTTTCTTCTTAGTCTAGCTTAAGGTTTGTGATTTTTTTTTTTTAAAGATTTTATTTATTTATTTGACAGAGAAAGAGACAGCAAGAGCAGGAACACAAGCAGGGTAGTAGGAGGGAGAAATAGGCTTCCCGTCAAACAGGGAGCCCAATGGGGGACTCAATCCCAGGATCCTGGGATCATGACCTGAGCCGAAGGCAGACGCTTAACAACTGAGCCACCCAGGCACCTGAGGTTTGTCAATTTTATTTATCTTTCAAAAAATAGCTCTTAGTTTCATTAATCTTTTCTATTTTTTTTTTCTGGTCTCTGTTTCATTTATTTCTGATCTTTGTTATTTCCTTCCTTCTGCTAACTTGGGCTTAGTTTATTCCTTTTTCTAGTTCTCTGAAATGTAAAGGTCAGTTGTTTATTTGAGATATTTCCTTTTTCCTAATGTAAGCATTTGTCACTATAAACTTCCCTCTAAGAACAGCTTTTGCTACATTCCGTAAGTTTTAGCATGCTGTGTTTCCATTTTCGTGTTTTTCAAGATATTTTTAAATTCTTCTTTGACCCACTGGGTATTTAGTAGCATGTTGTTTAATCTCTACATATTTGTGAGTTTGAGTTTTTCAGTCCAGTTTTCCTCCTCTTATTGATGGAATGTTCTGTATATGCCTATTAGGTCCACAGGGTCTAAAGTATAGTTCAAGTCCAATGTTTCCTTGTTGGTTTTCTGTTCGGATGACCTATCCATTGTTGAAAGTGGGGTACTGAAGTCCCCTTCTATTACTGTATCATTGTCTGTTTTTCCCTTCAGATCTGTCCATATTTGTTTAATATATTTAGGTGTTCAAAAGTTGGGTGCATATTAATTTATGACTGTTATATCCTCTTGAAACTGAAAGGGATATCTGATTTAGAACATACCAGAATTCCACACAAAGAAAGAACAGTGCTAAAAAGTTAAGCATACATTTGAATACCTCTTATTCCTTAATTGAACAGAACATATTCCTTAATTAAAGAGCATATTCCTTAATTGAAGAGTCAGAAATCAAAACAGAAAAGTTGGTTGCTTGGGGCGCCTGAGTGGCTCAGTCAGTTGAGTGTCTGGTTCATGATTTAGGCTCAGGTCATGATCTCATGGGTCACTCCCTGCACTCAGTGCGCAGCCTGCTTGAGATTCTCTCCCTCTGCCCTCCACCTTCTCTCTCTCAAATAAATAAATCCTTTTTTTTTTTTTTAAAGAAGTTGGTTTCTTAAATCAAAGCTATTTTAAAAACAGTTTGTTTAAAAAAAAAAAAGTTTTTGTAAATAGTGATGCCAATCTTAGCATAAGGCTGAGTGGGACTGAACAGTAAACTAAGTATAAAATTCTTTAATTCAAAGGGCACAAAAATTATACACGGGAAGACAGTAAAAACAAGTATTTACTGCCCTAGAACATCATTATTTTAAGGTATTGGCATACTTTCCATAAAAAGCCAGATATCAAATATTTTCCACTTTGTGGGCCATTCGGTCTGTTCAACTTTGCTGCGGTAAGTGCAAATGCAGCTTTTGGTAATATGTGAACAAATGGATGTGGCCAGGACTGGCCTGCCTGTTCTAAAGGATCATATCAGGAAAGGTCACTGGAACTTAATCTTTTGGAACGAAGTGCAGATTGTGGGTAAGCTAATTTAACAGAAAGACTAAACATCACTACAAACCATGTCCACAAAGTTTTTTGATGTGTTCTAGCAAACTTCCTAAAACCTGTCCTCCCTGCCATCTGACTATTTGCAATATTTTTTTATTAAAAGAACTTAGAAACTTCATGAAAATCCTGACTTATTCTCTTATATGGATTTTTCTGAAAATTAAAATTAAGTATTTGTAGAGTTTATTCTTCTAAATAACAAACTGCAGAATAATTTTCATGGTCAGTATGGTTAAGGATCATTTCAGAGGTTTTATAATAAATACTTTTACCAGCACCACTTTCAGCTCTCATCAAGAGAAAAGATACAAAGTCATCAGCAGAATTTGCCCAATACTCAAGTTTACACTGTATATCATCCTTTCTTTAGACTTTATAATGTGTAGCCAAATCCAGTACCATGTACACACAGTGAGAAACTTCATGCTCCTCACCAGTCTAATTTGTATTATCAAAGAATACTCAGGTCACTCCCAACTATACAATGGGTATACATCCTTGGATACGACAAAAACAAGGAATGACCAGTCATCCTTTTGACATTTGGCCTATTCTTGTGTGAGTTATTAAGAGGATACATGATGTTGGTGATTGATGACTAATGCTGTGGAGACAGATCTAATCCTCTCTTATCATATGATAATGAAAAACTCTATAGTATACACCAAATGGATTGTTTTCTAAGTGGCAATGTTTGAGAGTCTCTCCTGGTCCCCTGAAATCGCTTAGGTTACCTTGCTTCTTCACTTGCTCCAGAAGAAGATCCTTCATGGCAGGCTCTTCTGCAAGGTCAGAGGGGACTTCACCTTCACTATTCACAATACCCACACTGGCTCCATGGTTAATGAAATACCTGTGTAGACAAGATCCAGGATCTACATTATCTCTGTCAGTCTAATAATAATTTATACTTGTGCATATGGTCTTCAATGCAGAGCAAGGCCACTGTTTTGGGGTTTTAAATAAGGTCTCAGATAACATGCTCCATTATTAATTTCTAACTCCATTAGCCTTCAATAATTAGGACTGGAAGCTTCTCTATTTCATGACAAGCAATACTAACAAACAGGATTTCTTTCACACTCATATTCCTTTTTTTTTTTTTTTAAGATTTTATTTATTTATTTGTGAGAGAGACACAGCGAGAGAGGGAACACAAGCAGGGGGAGTGGGAGAGGGAGAAGCAGGCTCCCCATCTAGCAGGGAGCCCGATGTGAGGCTTGATCCCAGGACCCTGGGATCATGACCTGAGCCGAAGGCAGATGCTTAACAACTGAGCCACCCAGGCGCCCCTCACACTCATATTCCTAACTTCCACCCTCTCACTCCCATTGGATAGCAAGAGATTTTCTAAATACCATAAGGAAGACATGCAGCCATAAAAACTCACCCACCATCCCTGAGATCCAAACACAAATTCCCAAATGGATTTATACACTTGTAATATTGTAAGAACCCTCAGAAGATATGTAAGGAAGTAATTCTCACAAAAACTTTCTCAATGCCTCATTAGAGTATATTAAGTAGTGCTCGGTATGAAAACAGAAAAATAATGAAATAAAATGTGCATTAATCTGCCTAAATTATGCCTCCACAAAACTCTCCCTTCAACCAGCCATCTACATGAAACCTTCTACACTAAATACAATACTCAATCCTAAAGAAGAAAGGTCTGATCATTTTAATACTTTAAATGTATCCTTTTTGATTTTCAAAGTGCTTTCACATAAAATTACATAACGTGTCAGGCAATTTTAAGAAGTAGACAGTATGGGCATTACTACCTCCACAAGAAATTGAGGCTCATACATGTTATTTTCCTAAAATCATAGAAGTGGCAACTGACAGAATTGGTGGCCCCAGCCTCCTATCTTCAAGTCTAATTCATCTGTTCACTAGATCAAGTTGCTTTTGGGCCAATGAGAATCCCAGTAATGCTGGGAACTCTAACAAATACTCAGAGTACTTAAAGGGGGAAAGAACTCTGGAAAACAGTATGGAGGTTCCTCAAAAAGTTGAAAATAGAACTACCCTACGACCCAGCAATTGCACTACTGGGTATTTACCCGTAAGACACAAATGTAGTGATCCGAAGGAGCAGCTGCACCCCAATGCTTATAGCAGCAATGTCCACAGTAGCCGAACTATGGAAAGAGCCCAGATGTCCACTGACAGATGAATGGATAAAGAAGACGTGGTGTGTGTATACACACACACACACGCACACACACACGCACGCACACACACAATGGAATATTACGCAGCCACCACAAAAATGAAATCTTGCCATTTGCAATGATGTGGATGGAACTAGAAGGTATTATGTTAAGTGAAATAAGTCAATCAGAGAAAGACAATTATATGATCTCATTGATATGTGCAATTTGAGAAACAAGGCAGAGAATCATAGGGGAAGAAAGGGAAAAATGAAACAAGATGAAACCAGAGAGAGAGACAAACCATAAGAGACTCAATCTCAGGAACAAAACTGAGGGTTGCTGGAGTGGAGGGGGTGGGAGGGATAGGGTAACTGTGTGATGGACATTGGAGAGGGTATGTGCTATGGTTAGCACTGTGAATTGTGTAAGACTGATGAATCACAGACCTGTACCCCTGAAACAAATAGTACATTATATGTTAATAAAAAAATAAATAAAGGGGGAAAGAAAAACTATTTAAATCAGCGAAAGAAAAACTATTTAAATTAGCTTCAACAAGTCAGTGACCATTTATCAGTCCCTTACTATGTTTAAGGTACCACATTTTAGATATCGTAGATTTTCTTTTTTTTTTAATATATTTTTAAAGATTTTATTTATTTATTTGACAGAGAGAGACACAGTGAGAGAGAGGGACCACAAGCAGGGGGAGTGGAAGAGGGAGAAGCAGGCCTCCCGTGGAGCAGGGAGCCCGACGCGGAGCTCGATCCCAGGACCCCGGGATTATGACCTGAGCCAAAGGCAGACGCTTAACGACTGTGCCACCCAGGTGCCCCAGATATCGTAGATTTTCAAAAGATAATCAAGATATGGTCACTATATTCAAAGAGTTGGCAAAGAGAAAGAATCAACAAAGACTATTAAAATCATGTTTGTGCTTTCTCAGTGCCTAGTACCTGGTATAACAGAGCCTCAATAAATGTGAATTTCTGTATCAATTGCACATATATAAAGTGTAAAAGCATTCACAAGTCATCTAATTTTCAGCTGTCCCTGTCCTTCCCTCAAGTCTCAGAGGAAGAGACTTTCTTCCAATTTAAAGGTTAATTCCCTATATCTACTTTCTTAGTTCTATCAAGTACCAGTCCTCTGTACTGGTTACAATTACTCCTTCATTTCCACATATTCAATAGCTTCTCTCTTCTGGTTCCTCAACATCAGGCCAAAGAAACATTCAGTTACACCTCCCCCACCCTGAAAAGTCAAAATGGAAATAATCTACATAGTAAGCACTCAATGAATGCTTTTTGGGTTGACCTGTACCCGATACTCTAATCACACTGAACTACTTAATGTTCTCAAACATATCCCACTCTCACTCAGCAATCTTCCACAGCTCAGTAGTTTCCTCCAACTGGATGAAATACCCTCCCCATCTCCTTTCCCTTCTAGAAACTCCATTTTCAATGTCCATTTAAAATGCTTTTGCCTTCATGCAGCCTTTGCTTGTTCTCACCAAATGAATCCTCTGTCTCCTTCCTTTAATTCCGCCCTTCCCCTGCTGCCCTCCACAGCACTAATTCTGGACCTCTGCCAAGACACTATTGATGCAACTGCCCAATTAAGCTGAAAGCTACTTGAGGGCAAGAACTGTGTCTTCCTCACTGTTATCATTGCTATAACATTCTGACATCATCTCTTTTCTCTTGGCACTACATAAATATTACCTGAAATAAATGAAACATCTTACCCACTCTGCTCTGACATCTATTCCATCCCTTCCTGGATCGGGCACAATGTCACTTGGGTATACAGGCCCCTGCTTTTCCCTTTTCTGACATGTTCTTATGCTCAGGATCAAGAAGACTCATTTCTAGGGCGCCTGGGTGGCTCAGTTGGTTAAGCGACTGCCTTCGGCTCAGGTCATGATCCTGGAGTCCCTGGATCGAGTCCCGCATCGGGCTCCCTGCTC